CCCTTCTTATTAGAGTAAATTCAGGGCCATACCTATTAGGGAGAACATTTTTGTGACTACACTGAGCAATAAAATCTAATTTGCATACAGACAAATTTGATTCAAGAAATCAATGTAATTAAAGGCATGTTGTATGCTTCCATTTAATATTCTGAAGCTTGTGTACAAAAACAAGGTATCAAATTCACTTCTGGGCCTTCAAATAAACTTCATCATTCTCACACTAATTTATTCTCCTGAAGTACTCAGACGATCTGGATTATGAGGTAAGAGTAAGAAACAAGAGACTGGGGAAGATCTGACTGTGATTTCATTTGCTCCCATGCTTTTCATAAATAGTAGATGATGATAGCAAAAATAATCTTAGATGTTATAATCATGGGACATTTCTGACTCTGTAGGTATGGGTTGGAAGTAATTTCACCATTGGAGAAGGTTACACACACACACACACACACACACACACACACACACACACACACACACACACACACACACACACACACACACACACACCCCACATGTGGTAGAACGCACTCTAAAACATTTTTTATCTTTCCTGTCTTCTCTTCCATTAGAAAACTACAATGGGCATGTTATGGTAGGGACCATATACTGTCATTAATGGAGTGTGTGACAGCTGCAAATCAACAGTAGGTTGGGCATAATTTAAGGAGCTGCTAATTCTGCTAATAGCCTTTCTGTTTCCTAGAAAATATATACACATGTGTCAAATTAAGAAAGCTGCAATAAAAGAAAGCTTTAAGTACAATATTTTGAAAACAGTTCTGGAGAATGACAAGTCAAGAAAAAAGAATCCATGGTGTCTTGTCTTCAACAAGCTTTTTGGCCTTACTATGTACTGGACAAACTCAGTTCATTTTCACTTCTCAAGAGGACAACTGGATGCAAACCATTTTTGATCAAAGAACATATGATTCTCATACAATTCATCTATTTTGTTTTCCCAACCAAAACAAACACAAATTAGCAAATTTAACCCATGAGATACAAGAGCAGAAAATGTTTTACAAAAAGAGTGTTTCTATCCTGTACTGCTTTTTTCCTCAGGTAAACAGTTTGTACTTTACTAGCAGCACAGCAGCATCCTGAACCCTCTTCCATGTGCCACTCATAAGGCTTCATTTTGGAGTTACAATAGCATTATCAGTATCAGCTGATACTGTTGTAAATTGTGATATTACCTGCCAAAATGTCCTGCCACCTCGTCACAGCCTATGATCTGTCTCAGGACCCAAATCAGCATAAACTTAAGATAGGCACATAGTTCAGGCTGCCCAACACTGTCTTATGGTACATTGCCACCCCCCCTCTATTAACAGAAGAGAGGATCAAAAATGCTTCCCAAGCTGTAGAATGACCCAGTTGAAAGGAAAGGATTGGATAAAAGTACTGCACCTGTCCCTCATTATAAAATTTGCAAACCTGATTTGCATGGTTTATTAAAGTTTATTAAAAGAAAGCATAGAAAGGAAATCAAGGGAACAAAAACACACACAGCAAAATGATTACATACCCTTTCCCAAGTATCTTGTCCCATTTATGAACTACTGATGTAGTTGGAGATTTTGGAGTATTAAGAACAACCTATTTTGTGTAATGCTACCCAGAATTTAACACAGAATGAGTTAGTTCTAGTACAACATCCCAACTTAATGTTGGCTATTGTAGACCAACATTCTGCATGTTTTGCTAGCTTGTATGTCAGTGAGATTTAATGCAACTCTTGATTTGAACCAATCTGTTAGACACACACAGGTTCACAACATCTATTGTTCAGTTTTGGGGAGGGGGGAATTAAATTGTTCTGGCAAAATATGTGATGAAGAAACATATCCTTCTAGACTATTCTATCTCAACTGGTTTCAGGAGACAATCTATCTGAACCTTTTGGAAAATCTATTAACTAGAAAAACTTTGGCTTATCTGTCATATTTTGATTATTATAGTGACAAACAAATAAATAATAAATAAATAAAGATAATTTCTGGAAACTACATGATTTCTGGAATAGATCAGATATAAGGTATTTCACCCTTATAAGCATTGCTGTGAAATTGAAAAGCAACTGGTTGCATGAACAACTATAGAAGAGGTACACTTTGTTACAATTTATTGTTCTAAGTAAAATAAATGGCGAAGGAAATGCACAAAGGACATTTTGCTGGATGAAAAAAGCTGAGGATGCACCACAACAGCATTGTTTACAGTTGCCATATCCAAATTCAATAGTTACAACAACATCAAATCTCCTGTACATGAGGAACAAGAATAAAGTGTATTTTCATTCATACACATGGGTCAAGATAGCCACCCATGTGACTGAACAACAGTTCACAACCAAATCTCTAACAAGAGATGTACTATTTCCCACTACTATTTCTAGTGTCATCTAACACACTCAAATAACCCTTGTAACTTATGGAGAGATCACTTTTTTAAAAGTACAAACTTTAAGTATGTTCTTCTTCCTGCAATCAAAAGTAGTTGTAGTTTTTGTACATCTTACAAAACAAAAAGGAAGATATTTGTGTAGCAGAAACTCATCTTCCCTGTCATGGCCAAAGTACAGCAAAGTCTCTGTATACAACTTATTACTTTGGAGCTGTCCAAGGTATTGAAAGTAATTATGGAAATGAAAAAGGCTTAGGAAAGATGTCCCTGTTCTGTATTCTGAAATTCATTCTTCTACCAGAAAAAGCTAATCAGAAATTAGTCACATAAGTGCATGGTTCTGAAAGTATGCTTCAGGAACAAAATGAATTCCTGACTTCCATTCTTATACAACCCTACACCAGAATCCAGTGCAAGCAATAGACAGCAATCTTCCCTTTCCCACTCTAGCTCCTCAATATGCACCCAAAATCTATTCCAGAGAAGTAGAGAACTCTCTGGAGCTGGTTTCAGGTAGCTCTGAGTGCTCTGGGGTGGAAGGAAAAGAAGTTTCATTACACTGGAGTTATAGTCCAGAGCTACATTGGATTTAGGTCTTCAGTGCAACTACTAATTTGAAAATCTACTCTTTGGCTATATAGTTAGGATAAGAAAATATATGAACAACTTAAGTTTTTCATCTCCTGCTTCAAATAACATCTTAGAAAGGAAAAGGTCAAGGCACACATTCCTTGGAGCAGTGTTTAACATAAATAAGACATTATAGACATTATAGATTTACATATGCAAAATGAGACATGCCACTTAACTGGCAAAATGGAAAGTATTAAACTGTGTTACTGTGGGTAGTGTAACTGTGGGTAGTGTAACTGTGGGTACAACTTGGCATGCTCTCTTTATTAAAATTAATCTATTTAAATTTTCCAGAATTTGTTACCTCATTAATGTGACTCCACAGTATTATTTTACATGAGGTAACTATGAAGATGGTAGAGGCAGTTCCAAAATCCTGTCTTTCAGGCATTACACTGAGGCAAGAGGGAATCACACAATTCAATTGCACAAGTGGTTGCATGATCCCCACTGTGAATATAAAATTGCAACAATTGCACAATATGTACTTTGTGGATAGCACTTCTGGCTTAGTGCTATTCCAGCTTTTGTTACACCTACATAGCTATGGAACAAGATTTCAGCCTATGGAGAACAACAGTAAGAGTTTACAGTTTGTCACTACTGCTCTAAAACAGTAGTTTAAGATGACAGCTATTCTTTTTAGTGATTAACATAAAAACAGATTAAAGGGTAGACATGCTGTTGCCATTTCAGAACACTTTTATTGCTTTGTGTAAATCAAATTTTACATGTGCTTAGCAAGGCAAATTTAACCTTGTCTATCTTGAAACTGCATGTTTGTGGACTTTCCTATAAAATCTGCTGATAGAGGAGCAGTTCAAAAGACTCTGCATCCACCTTGAGAAAAATGAAGGTTAACTAAAGTCTACTGTACAAAACGATTTGCAAATGTACATTTCACACCCTAAACTGTAACAGCTCACTGACCAATCAATCTGCTGAACTCTTGCTTTGTCCCTAAACCTACCTATCAAATGAAATTGGGCAGGCTGTTACTCAGACTCAGCTAAAATATCCCCATAAACATCGATTCTTGCTCAGTACCAATGAATGACAGAGCATAATTTATTTAATTGCTGACAAGGACAATCAGTGCTCAGTAGCACTGACTGTATAATGCTGTGCTTTAAGAGACTAGGTGACATGAATATAAAAGCTAGCACATTACTCTTATTGTTACTCTTGACTAGAATGGTCAAAGCATATTCTCTCCAAAATGTCCTGCTCTTAGAAACAGGCACTGCACTAGACATAGTGGTGAAAGAGTTATTTTTAAATGGAAAAATAGTGATCTATATTAAAGTAATGAGATTTGCTACTGTGGTAGTTAGTACAGAATGCTCTTGTTACCAAGATAGCAAATTTCCAAGAATTTTCTGGTAACAAGATACATCTTCATGCACCATCATGCTGATGACATAAACTCTGATCTGTGCAAAATTAAATGCAAAAAAAAAAATGCCAAAAACATGAAACAGTGCTCAAGGATGTCAAGCATGTACTCAAGGAGTACAATGTGAATAAAATAAATTCAAAAATTATCCTGTCTGTCATTTTTACCTGATATTAACAATTATACTCTCTAAAATAGTTTAATCCACTCTTTCATAAATGTCGGTACAACTCCAGTTTTAATCTCATCTAAAAGAGTCATCTCAATGTCTTCTATATAAGTCTGGGATTTTTATAAATTCACAAGAGAAGCAAACTTTAAAAAGGATATTAAATTGTGTTCACTGTCTGTAATTACTGAGAGAATCAGTTGCTTAACTAGATCTAGTAGCATTACACAAACTGTTTTATGTGAGAACTAAATAGAGCAAAGAAACAAAATCTCCTGGACAATCTATCTGTGGTATGCTGTATTTTGTGAGTCAGAATGTATTTTTCCAAAAATTGTTTTACAATTCCCAGAAAAATCTTTAACAGATTCCTACACAAGTACTTACCAAGAAGCGGACATCATCAAAGCCATTGAGAAGCAGTTTACTCTCATACTGCTGTAAGCCGATGGACTCCAGCCACTCCCCAACACTCTGTTCCAGCATCCGTGAACCTGACGAGAGAGGAATCGGCAGACGCTTGAAAAAGGAAAACCCATTAAGGCGGTAGCAGCGGCACTCTGAGGAAGACAGGTGGCATTGCCACATCATAGTCATTACCAGAAAGAAGCCAAAGCAGGGCCGGAGTACAACTATTAGCTGACAGACAGCTCTTCTTCCGCACACAAACCAAGAACAATCAAGCTTCTGTTCCTGTTCAGACTAGTGTGTTAATTGGTCTTCCAACTATACACATGAAAATTCTGAATCCAAGCTGTTCAGAACCATTCCTGGGACCAGGCATGACATGCATCATGATCTCCTGGATCAAGTGTGTTCCTTGCCAGACATAAGCAGCCCAGGCCTCACAAGAATTGTGGTCAGCTCCTTGTTTCATCTGAGGGGACTGCAAACTTTCCAAGGCATCATTCCAAGCCAGAGCTACAGGCATGAGAGACAGAAAGGGCCAGCTCACAAATACACACAGCCCAGCAGACGCTTGCATCCATGCAACTTCAGATGCATTACCTTGTAAAACAGGCCAGTAAGGAAGGCTGTTAGCACTGGAGGTGCAAAGCAGTTAGAGAGAAAATACATCTTCATGCAGCTGAGAGAGACAAACAGACACGATGGGTGTTCAGAAAAGCAGCAGCAGCCAGATTAGTGAACAGCTGTCCAAAGGAAGACATGCAAGACAATAAAAAAAGAAAAAAAGAAACAAACACACAAACTGCAGTAGAAGAATAAAGATTATACTTTTTTTCCCCCAACAGTCCCGAAACAGGCAAACCATGGTTAGGGCTTTTCTTTGTTATTTTATTACAAGAAGCTGAGGCATGAGTGACAATAAGCCTAGGCTTAAAAGTCCTGCTGCTGTCATTTTACCACCTATCCAGATACTTAGCATCCTGACAGCTTGCATTAACTGAACTGGGCTGGGAACCAGTGCCAATATCTAGACTGGAACAAACAAGTGCACAAGAGCATCCAGTTGGAGCAAAAAAGTAAGTAGTCAGCTCAATTCCCACCCAACACGGCTGTTTCTGACAGTCCTTTGTTGACTTGTGTTAATCAGTCCTTCATGTTCTTCCACTAAAGCCAAGTAATACCTTCGCATTCCTCACTCAGATAATAAGCAGCTTTCAGAACAAAGCATTTCAACTCTCCGGTGTAAGAGAAAGACAACAAATAAGACAAATATGCCCCCTCCCCCTTTCTCTGCTGCAGATAGGGTTAGATATGTCCTGGCACCTCCTTTCAGCCGGTTATTCAGAAAGAAATTCCTCAAGGGCCCTTTAGAAGCTATATAAAGTAGCTCTTCTTTCCTCAGCACTTAGGAGGAGAGTCTAGGAACTTGCTACTTTCCTTGTGCGGAACTGGAGATACTTGATGTAGCAAGGAAAAGTTCAGACCCAACGTCCTTGCAGTCCTCAGAGGAATTGCTATGCAAGTCACGCAGTATTTTCTCAGCCTTCCCAGCATGTCCGTCTTTGAAGGGCATTTGCAAAATACTGAGTAAGACAGAAGGGTTGCAGCCTTTGAACCCTGTGGTTATCTGAAGTTCTACACATGCTAAACTAAACCCCGCCCCTCCTTTTCTGGAATGCCTACACAATGCAACGCTGGTTATCTGAACAATTAGAGGCAAGAAATCCTGCTGCACTGGCTTGGAGAAAAGATCCTCTGTTGAGTAAGTCAGTGTTAATGAGTGCTCGGGAGCCGGCCAGCCTTCTTAGTGCATACTGCAGCACCAGGGATGCAGCACTCACAGAAGATTTCCTCCTCCCTTTTTGAACAAAGCCTGGGCAAAGGGACAGAATTTATCGCCACAGTTCAAGAAGCAGGCTCTTGCTTGGTTGGAGGGTCTTCCATTGTCCAGGGCAATTTTACTTCCATTCCATAAGCAGGCAGGGAGACCCTGTTCTTTTCTCAGGCAAGTGTGCGTCCCTTTCAGAGGGCTGCTGCAGACTGCTTTGTCTAAAGGCAGCAAGCCTCACACTTGCTGCGTCTCTTCCTCTCTCACTGGCTGTTCCCTCCCCCTTCCTCATGCTCACACCCCTTCCAGCAGAAGCAATGATCAGATTTCAGAACAGAAACTGGTAGACAGGAATACAATAGCAGCTTCATAATATCCATGTTAAAATTAAAATTACTATTTGACATGTTCTCGTTTTAAACTGAGACAATTTGCTAGGATTAATTTATTAGGAGTGAACCAAGGAGACCTTAAAATGCTGAAAGGTAAGTGCAGTTAAAAGGCAGGGAGAGTAATCAAAAACAAAAGTATGCTTTTTTCCCCTCACTGAAAGTATGCATTTATTTGCCTGCAACCTTTACTGTGTCTGGGAATGTTTAAGATGCGTTGCTTATAACCAATCCAATAAGATCACAATAATGAAAATGATGGCAGTCTTTGAGAAACTAGGAAGAAACTCACCTTATCACTATTGTTATTTAAACCTACCAGAATTATTTGGCAACAGCAATGTACAAAACCATGCACATTTTGTGTATCAATATTATGAAACCAGAGAGCAACAGCTGTAATACTTCCAAAAGTACTAAGCAGCAATGTGTAGGAAGTAAGGAAAAAATAATTCACATCTAAAAACCACTGTCATTCACAGGATTCTTTAAATGTGGATAAAGCTAGCTACTAGGAGAGGAACAAATAAGCCAAGATTTTAAAGTACTAGTGATAGTCTTTATCTTGCTCAATCACTGTTCAAAACCAAAATGATAATTACCTAATCTTACTGCAATCAAAGTATTGAAAAGTGCACTTGTACACCAGCTTTCTCCAACATACTTTACACCATTATACTGATGTCAAAATATCAGAGATATAAATATGATGCAATGTCCATATAGTCACAATACATGTATTCCATTTGTAGTACACTGTTAACAGCAACTACTGCCAACTGCCAGGCAGCACAACGGCTCTGTACAGAGGATGTGAAACTACGGACAACTCACTCAGGCAATACCAAAACATTCTGCCTACCAAGAAGTCAACTGTGTCACTTCAATCCTACGCCTCTCTGGTTTGGCAGCAGTTTTTAATGACAGAGTTGCATCTGGCTGGTTGCACAGCAAAATGACCTTGACAAGCACAGGTCAGGATGCTATTATAACTGCACTACTGTGGGCTAATCTCTGTGTCTGAGCAAATCTGGGTGTTTTGGGCTGTGCATCATTAGGGTTATAATAACAATACCTCATTTTCTCTGGCATATGTGAATATGACGTAAAGTGCAAGTATCTTTATCCTTGCTTGTTACTTGAAAACAAAGAACACAAGCAAGCAGAGGTGCTAAAGTGAAAGCAATTCAGCCACAGCTACAAAGAGGCTAGATCCACAAAACAGTACATAAATTAATTAGACTTAATCTGTACCAAAGCAATAACATTGCCACAGTTTGCCAGTTCTTAAGAAGACAGTTATTAACCTAAAACAGTAAACCAGTCAGCATGTTTGGAATTTAAAATGATGAAAGGCATGCAGCTTATAATGAACATATTCTCAGAAAAAGGAAAACCTTTAAAACGTATAATATTTAAGTACATATAGAAATAACTTACAGACTACCACAAATTATCTGTAATGTAAGCTTGCTGATGCTGCATAGGTTACCCCTTCTTTTCTAACTTGGGTAAAAAACTGATATACTGTATGATATCACAATAAAAGCAGCATACAATCTGTGTTCACCAGAACTATCATGTTCTAGAAAATTGCAAGACAGCAAAGATCAGTTTCTGTCACAAACCAAATTTGCCTCAGTGCTTTAGTTTTTCAAACAGAAAGAAGTGTGAATAGTTAAGCAGAAGCATACTAGACAAGACAGAGCTGAATATGCAAAAATATATAAACATATTTCACTGCTTGCAAATAGTGGCCCAGGGAGAAGCTGCTACTGCCAGACAAAACCTGTTCGTAAACCACACTCTCCTTTGAAAGATCTGTTGTTAATGATATATTGCCTTGAACAGATTTTTTCCTCAGTGACACTAGTGAAAGAATTCATGGACAAAGATCAATGCGCACATTGATGTTTGGACGGAATCCATCTAAAGCCTTAGAATCCATTTAAGCAGAAGCAACAGCAGAAGGAATCACTCATATAATCAAAAGGAAAGTAAAATCCATAAACTGAACAGCCCATTTAGAATTAAAATTCTCCTCTTTTTAAAAGTCATTCTTTGAGGAAAAATGAAGTCAGGATCAAAAGAAATGATGATAATGATGAAGAAATAATGCCCTAAAATATGTTAAAGCCTTTAGAGCCAGGTTGGCAAATACGTAACTAGGAAGCCACCTATCTCTTCCATTTGAAGGAAATATGAATATATGCTATAAAGTGATGCTTATGATACTCTACATCAGGGGTGGGCAATTAATTTCTATAGGGGGGCCACATGAAAAATCTGAACTGTGTTTGGGGGCCGAACCAACTTTACTTAAAAATAAAATGAAACAGTGATGTTATGATTGTTTTTATTTTAAACTTGTTAATCTTCACAAATACTAAAGAGTTTTTTTGCAGTATGTTAAAGATAAGCAACTGATCAACTTCAGACAAAAAGCTATAAATGGTTTTGATGTTCAAAACCGTCCACGGGTTGGACAGGAGTGGGCCATATGTGGCCGTTGGGCTGCACTTTGCCCAGGTCTGTTCTTCATATATATTTCTGCCCAGATGTATAAATGTTTTGATAGTGCCACAAGCACATGAATGATGTCTGGTACATCTTGCATACTCCTCAGACAAAGAGCAAGCTGTGACAGAGGGTGTGCATAATATATACTGCAAACAACTAATTTATCTTCTCAAAAGTAAGAAATAATTGTCCATGTAAAAGAGCCTCTGAAAAATAGAGGGCATGAATAGAAGATAAAGAGGACAAGAGTCTAGCAGTTCTACAGAGGAAAAGTCATGGAAGCAAATAAATGTTTCATTATACCTTATGCAAAAATGCAAATTCAACTTATATCTGATTCAGGTATGGA